GGGGGGGGGGGGGGGGGCGGAGTGGTAGATTGGTAAGAGAGACGCTGTTTTCGGTAACAGGGAAGAAATGAATGTGGCTTGGTGAAATATGTACGCGAGCGGGGGCTGCAACCAGCGAGACTTCGACGCACCTATGCCTAGGAGATTCGACGTCGGAGACTTTGACGTATGATAGGAGATTTCGACGTGGGAGACGATCACGGGACCCTCAAAAAGCGCGGAACGGTTGCGGAACCTGTCCGGCCATACGGCGTTCCCGGAAAAACGGGCAGGCCTCGATAATGATACTCCTCGTTTCCTGAAAGACAACAACTTACGCGAGAGCTTGATAATACAACAGCTGGCCATTACCAAAGCGGAAATCAAACCACCAACACTGGACGAAGGCCCCCCTCTTGCCCCCCCGCCCCTTCCATCAATCCCGCTTCGGCCAGCCCCCCACTCCTCTGAACGCTGTCCCCGGCCGGACTCACCTCTCGTACTTGCGCACTAAAGTAACCTCTGATGGCGGTGACCTCCCCTCTGGTCATGCCGTTATTCCTCAGCGCGTCGAAGCCCCTTCGCGTCGCCGGGTCGTCATCCTCCACCTCCTGCCGCGTACGCAAAAACAAGCAACACGGGCGCGACGTTGTGTACCGCCGTGGTTGGGTCACTCTCCTTTACGAGAAAAAATAAATGGCTTCGCACGCACATTCGCCAAACCTTGATAGTTCCGTGTCTTGGTGTAGGCCATACCTCGGTCTCGCTTTCCAGCCGTCTTTCCGCCTACCCCCGCAACCCTGTTCTGTATCGTCCATCTCTTACAGAAAACCGCATTATCTCCCGTACGATTCTCGAATCGTGTCTGGTGCATCCCCAAACACGCCGGTAAATTACTGGCGTCAAAACGCCCACGGCGACACACAAGGAGTCGATTTGACGGCTCCCCATCCCCGTCTGTGTCTGGTCTCCAAAAGGATACGCCACGAGGGTATATGCAGCAGGAGGTGCACAGCAAGAGGTGTCTTTCTTCCGCCCGCCCCCACCCCCCCCAACCCAAGGCTGTATGAAGTGCCCCC